TATATAAAGTTTATGGTACAGTAATTATAGTTCTCTTATAGAAAACAAATTACATTCAACTTTGTAAAAATTATGGAATGCTAATTTACGTTGTCATTCCCTTCACAGAACTATGAGGGTAGAAATGTAGGCTTTTTGTGTATATATACAACAATAAGAGTTTTCAAATATGTAAGTTCTGTTGACTACAAAAAATTACATTCTGAAATTCACTATACTATAATGTTCATAATTTAACTGGTCTGGGATACAGCTTTCAACTCTGCATAAAATTTGGGCAATCAAAATTTGTTTCTATGCAAGAGTTTCATATGAGTATAAAAATTTGTGTACAATGGATAGACAAGCATTGTATTTTTACTTCTCCTTAGTAAAGCATCATATTTTAAGAAGTATAGAATATTGAACTGCCATAGCATTTGCTCTAGATCTGTATCTACACATATGATTCATTAGTATGTTGCAATCACTTCTACAAATCTACTTTCTGTAACAATAGACCCAATGGTTTAATTCATTGGGTGAGATTATATGACCTGACAGAAAAGATTTGGGGGTCTAGAAACAGATATTCTATGGTAGAATCCTGGTTCATTCATTTGCTGGCTGTGAGAGCTGAAGGCATTTTCCCCTTAATCTCTCTTTAGTGTTCCTCTGTTCATAGAACCTATGATGACATCTTCCTCGTAGAGCTATTTGACACTTAGTTGAAGGAGAAGATTTATAAATAAAAAGATTACGAAGTTTCCCCCACAATAAGCCCTGAGTTATCATCTAATAAGTGTTTCTCTCTGGGGGCTAACCCCCTTTTCCTAGATCAACTGTGTTGCACATTCGTTCATATTCATGGCTCTCCTTCCAGCATATCCCAACTATATTCTCCTCTGAAGGAATAGCTGGTGAAACCAACAAAGCCAACTCTGAGTTATACTGTACTTTACAGAAATTTCAATGGAAATATCTAAAAACATGAGAGAATAAAGATTTTCCATGTGCTATTACTTAAGAAATGATAAACAAAGTGAAGATTTTATGTCTATATTCCCTTCCCTTCCTCCAACTTATTATCATAAAGACATAGCTCTTCAATCCACAAATATCCATTGCAAATGTCTGTAAAATAACTGATTAAAAATCTGCTCTTCATCCTTATTTATTATATATTTCTCACAAACATACTTACACTTTACAGCTTTTTTTTTTCTTGGTAAGTACGTCAGGCAGTTTGGTGAAGTTGCACATAATGTTTACCTGTTATAAATAATATTTCTATTGAGTCATTTTAAATTTACACTGATTTTCTTCCAATTAATTTTTTCCCTAGATGTGTTTATTGGAAACATAAGTTGAAGGTTGTTGAGGTTCCCTGCTAGACACATTGTGCTCTCCTTGGCACAATTCCACATGGCCGCCTCTTAGATTTGCTGTAAACAAGTGAAGGATTTTGTTGTCTCTGCTGAAACTATTTCCTAGCTGATGAGCAACCTCTTTTGTGTTATCATCCCAGAAAACCTAGGACTAAGCATACATGGCACATAGATAAATATACACAAACACATAGACAGTGTTTTCTTACAGTTTTGGAGGTTAAGATCAAGGTTCCCATCTCTGACTCTTGACAAAGTCCCCATCCTGTAAATGCAATAGGACATCCTCACCTCCTTTTTGTTATTATTATCAATTATTTGGATTTCCAGAATAATTTTTCTAGTTTTCAGGTGGTACCCACCATACTCCTCCATAATGATTGTCTTAGTTAGGGTTGCTATTGCTGTGAAGAGACATCATGACCACTGCAACTCTTATAAAGGAAAATATTTAGTTGGGTGGCTTACAGGTTCAAAGGTTCAGTCCATTGTCATCATGGTGGGAAGCATAGTGGCGTGCAGGCAGACCTAGTGCTGAAGAAGGAGCTCTATGAAGAAGGAGAGTTCTGCAGCTTGATCTGCAGGTGGCAGAAGGAGACACTGTATACCACACTAGGCATAAGTTGAGCGTATGAGACCTTAACACCCACTCCTACAGTGACACAGTTCTTCCAACCAAGCCACACCTACTCCCACAAGGCCACGCTTCGTAAGAGTGCCACTCCCTTGGGACCAAGTATTCAAACACATGAATCTATAGGGGCCATACCTGTTCCAACCACCACAATGATCAATACAGCACTCTTGTTTTGAATGTTCTGAAATTAGGATAAATTTTAAAATTTTAAACATTAGATCTGTTTCAAGTCAGGATAGTTATTATTGTTGCTCAAAGTATCTGACTTTCAGGAAGGAAATCTTTCTTACTGGCTCTTGAAAAGGGAAAGCAGATTAGGAGACTTGTAAATCATTCTTGCCAACTGTAGTGAAATAGTTCACAGTTCTTTTAAATTACTGACATAGACCCAGAGTGAAAAATGTCCTTTAAAAACTTCAATTACTTGTGATACAACTGATTTGTACCAAATCAAATACTTTATATCAAATACAGCTGATACAATGACAACCAGACTACCAAGGGTTATCATTGTTCCCAAATGGGTCATCACTTCAGTGTGCAAAGCCATGGAGTGTGCATTTCTCTTCTTAGAGCTAAACTATAACATGAGATTACCCATTTACTTCTAACTTAAGACTTAAGATGTAAATATTTTTATTTTACCTTTAATCTTACATTCATATCTCTTTTTTTTTTTGCTATTTCTATCGGTTTTCAAGACTTTAAGGGCTAAAAATTCAAATATCTCATATTTAATTATTTAACTTACTGTTAAACGCCCTCAGAGTTAGAATAAAATCATCAACCCTACCATCATGCTATGAGTACTATACATAGCTTCATTTCAATCTGTAACTTTTCTGTCTCAGCTATATTCACTGGGATAAGAAAACAAATTGTTACCTTTTGAAGTTCTGGGATGTTTGTTTTTATAACACCAAATGAATTCACATTTAGATTGGCATTTCTGAAATATCTGTAAATCTATTTTGTTTTATAATTACATAGGGCATAGATAGATAGATAGATAGATAGATAGATAGATAGATAGATAGATCTAGAAATATAGATATATGTCCAAAATTGAATGTTATTAACAGAGTCTGACTTCTATGCCACCCTGTCATTTATTGCTTTACTATCTCTCTCTTACATTATAAATTTTTAATATTATGATTTTTCTATTCAAATATACTAGGTATTCCTTTTTAGTGGGTCAATTTCCTAAGTTCAATTTTACTCATCTAAAGATAGCTACATTGATAGTTAAAGAAATGTGTTCTAAATATATAAGTATGAGTAGATGGATGGATATATACAGTATTCATTCAAAGATGTATTGCCACTTATTTATCCAGATAACTAATATAGATTTTAGATGATTATTTATCATAACAGTGGTATTCTGACATTGTTGAGTGGAGGATGTGCATAGTCCGTGGCAGAGTACTGATCATGAATAAGGCCTTAGGACACATCCCTGGGGCTATTACAAAGAAGATAAACATAGCTTTGGTACAGATCTACAGACTGATCAAGCCAAGTTCTTCAGAAGTTTTGCAACACTCTTTACTAATGCAACATTTGTCGGAAAATGAGAGATGGAATCTTAATGCAACTGAATTTGTATTTGTGTTCTTAAGTTCAGAGGAAGCCATCTATGGGTGTGACTAAAGCACAGTATTTTCCTTCTATGTGCTCTGTAAGACGTAGCTAGAGTGTTCCTGCCTGGCCCACAGTCAGGACAAATCTCTGTCACCCGCCAGTCCCACAGTCGCTCAGACCCAACAAAATAAACACAGAGACTTATATTGCTTACAAACTGTATGGCTGTGGCAGGCTTCTTGCTAACTGTTCTTATAACTTAAATTAACCCATTTCTATAAATCTATACCTTGCCACATGGCTCATGGCTTACCGGCATCTTCACATGCTGCTTGTCACGGTGATGGCTGGCAGTGTCTCCTTCCTTCGCCTTCCACTTCCCAGAATTCTCCTCTCTCCTTGTCCCGCCTATACTTTCTGCCTGGCCACTGGCCAATCAGTGTTTTATTTATACAGAACGATATCCACAGCAGTATAATCTCTCTCAGCCCATTTCAACTCATTGCTGTCGATTTTTCCTATAAATAAATCTCTCTATAGCAGTAAGTATAATTACTTACCATGGCTGAAATTAGTAATTATAAATCTTGTTGTATTTGGAATATTTAATCTCTCAAATTTTCAAGTCCTCATTTCGAGTATGAATTATTGACCAGGTCACTGATGGTTACTGACATGTTTAATCATTAACGTGGTGTGATTTGACTTTTACATCTGATGACTCTGACCTGACATTTCTTTGCTTTGGGAACAAGAATATTCTAACATACAGGAAAAGATGATATAGGAAGTAAGAAAATTTGCAGGAACAAATACATTACAATGTACTAAAGTGCCTGCATTTAAGAAACATGCACCTTAAAAAACAAATCCATTTAAATTTTCAGTGGTTGGCATAATTAGCTGAATTTATATTAAAAAATAGTAAACAACAACAACAACAACAAAAAATCTTCCCTGCTGCAGGAGAACATGTTTATAATAGTTCCTGGGCATCTTGATATTTGGTTTAAATTGCTAGTCTTTATTTATTATAAGATATGTTGAAAAACCATGCAGGGTATAATTAAGATTTATGCACCATTAAAATATAATTTTATAATCCAGAATTTGCTTTTCCCTTACTTAATGCCTCTTTTCATATGATGAGTTTCCAAATTAATTAAAGAGCTCTAAAAAAAAATCCAGAAAACCATCCAAACAAATATCTTCCCTTTCTCTAACTCATAAGCTAATTAATTATATATCACATTTGCATCTGCTCTCCCTAGACTGGATAATTTAGAAACTCAATTTACTAATGAAATTGTGACTATGTTGCTCGGTTACTGAAGGAGAAGAGATGAATCAGACCAGAAAGTTGAGTTGCTGTTTGTACTCAGTACTGAACAGTGTCTCTTGTCTCTCAGGCACCCCCGAGGATTACCCTCGCTTCTTCCACATGCACCCCAGGACTGCGGAGCTAACTCTTCTGGAGCCAGTCAACAGAGACTTCCACCAGAAATTTGATTTGGTTATTAAGGTAAATTAAACTAAAAACTTACTTCCTTGTAGTTATGAAATGCTGACCAAAGGAACATACAAAGGCTACTATAGACCTCATTTTAAAATTGAGAAAGAATATGAACCACAATAACCAATTTTTTTTGCCTATAAACATTGGAATTTTTCTCATACGTATAGTAATATTCAATATATCTATGTAATAAATGCATTGGTCAGAGGTACATAGTTTAAATAACAAATTGTGCTTTATTTTTCAGCATTTATTTTTTATAAAATAACTTTTGGACATGAAAGATAAACAATGACAACATTAGAATGTGTTTTAAATAGTCTTTACTTTAATATTATTTTGGTGCTGTTGCTTTTTTTTAGCATGTATTAAAAGTACTTTCTCCCCCTGAGATTTTTTTTAAATGTATGCCTAACTATTTTCTTTATGTTGAATGATAAACCTAGAACTGAAAGAAAATTTAAAACCGGGATGATCTACTTGACATTAAAATAATATCATTTTAAAGGAACAGGAAATAAGTATTAATTAATAATAATATCAATTATATTATAAGGAAGCTACCGAAGAAGTACTGTGAAAACTAGTTAATCTTAACTTCACTAGAGAGTTGAGATTTAAGATTTCAGTTTGACACTGAAGGAAGAGTGAGAATTTGCTGAGTAGAAATAAATATTGAATGAGGAATAATTGTAAGTAAGAGACAGGACAACAATAAACCCTGAATTAATCTAATATGTATTACAAGGTATTACATACACACACACACACACACACACACACACACACACACACACACACACACACACACAGAGCACAATTAAAATAATTAAAAATATCAGTGCTGTGACATTAGCTTGGTGGTAGAACATTTGCCAGGCAGGCATTAAGTCCTGGTTTCACTCCCCAGGACCACATAAATAAATTACCTAATTAATTGAAAAATTTAAATAAAAAGGAAGTGAAGAAAGGAGGCTTGCTGAGTAGGCGCTCTGGGAATGTTGATTTTTGTACTTCTTCATTGTCTGGCTGCCACCATCTGGTTGGCGTCTTATTTGCACCGCTGTCGGTGGGCTGTGAAGTTCAGTGTCAGTAGTTTTCATGAGACACATGGCTAATAGTGACTGGGCAGAAGTGAGACTGGCTTTGGTTTTATTTAAAACAAATTTAGGCTCTTTTCACTGCACAGACTGTGTAGCTGGCTTAGGTGTGCTTACCTGGATTAACTATAGGTAAGTCCAACTTCAAATACTCTTATGTCAAACACATTTAATTTTAGTTCTTAGTATGGAATAGCTTCTAATATCACATTATAATATGTGTAATTAATCATGTGTTTACTTAGTTATGCTTTGTCCTTGGATAATTGATAGTGTAGATGTAGGTGCATCTCCATCAGTCTAGATTTTATCTGCTGACAGATAGCAGGTAAAAGAAGACCCAACAACCAACCAAAAGAGACTATTTCAATTATCTGGAGTTTCAAATATTTTCCTGAAGATTTCCCCAAGCTTAATGTTGCTGGGTCAAGAGGTTTTGACCAACAAATGAAAGCAAAAATGTGTTTCTAATAGAAAAGTTTGAGGCATAATGTAGCTGACTATAAGCAGTCAACAGAAAAATGAGAGAGAGCACCTTCTGGGTGGCTACAGCCCCCTTGGATGTCACTCAGCAAAGACACACTACTGTCCTCCTTTGTACGAAGGGTCACACATGAAGTCACACACATCTTTCACTGACTTGTGATTATCATGGGATAGCATAGAACTCAAGCAATATCCACCACCTATGTCCTTCTCCCTGGGTCCCATGATGCTGACCTTTGTCTAAGTATTGTTTCCAAATTGCTTCATTTATAACATGAAATCAGTGTCCCTTACTACCCATATCAGTTATCCTGGGATGTCTGAGAGCAGTGTAATAATCCATCAGTTACAAAAGAAAATCAATTAGAAATGTGAACAAATAATTGTTTATGTTTTAATAGTACTTTATACTATTAACCAATGTTTTTGCAAATATTACTAGACCCAAATTGCCATGACCTAAAGATAACACGAGAGGACCATGAGCAAAAGTATCAATTGAAACAATAACGATGGGCCGCATACCCAATAGTAGCTGAACATCCAGGCATTCTTCAAAATGCCACAATCCCACAGTTCTCCTCAGTAGTAAATATTTCATTATCTTTACTTTTTCCTACATTAGTGTTTTGTTTTTCATTGGCTATGGAAGTGTTTTGGTGTTGTTGTTGTTGGAATTTGATCCAAATTCCTGTTTGGGAGGCTGAGAAAAATAAAATATGGCAGTGTCCACCTCCGGACCGAGGAAGAATTCTTCCTTTAAAAGTGACATGACACACTAACTAACAGCTGATTTGTATCACGAACCAGAGATTTCTCACCTTTCTTTCTCGCCATTTCTGCTGGTGATTTATTCTGCATGCTGACATGTAAACATGTAAAGGCGAAGCCTGGGAGACAAAGTTGGATAATTAGAAACTTCAGCCTAGTCAACAACCCAAGCACTCTGGCCTGAAAAAGAAGGGGATACTCCATTGCAAAACACGTGTCCAGCCTTTAGTTAGCTGCCTTCATCTGAGGATACTGAGAAGGTGATGCACATTAAGAAGAAGGATCAGTCATTTGCTTCATGCCAGAATAATTCCACTTATGGACCAAGGTCCTTGAATAATTGTCCATAACACATGTGCGCTGTCAAGAACATCCCAGTTTGGATTATGAAATATCTGATCCTCCCACGTGATCCTCCCAAAAACAACCATAAATTTCCTGTGAGGCAGCAATACAAAAACATATTTCAGATGTGAGATGACAGTGAGTTTAATGCAGGTACCAACTACCTTAACACATTTCAGAAAATTCCCTTTCATTAGTATAGTATATTTAAAGTAGTATTTGTACGCCAGGCATCTAAGACAAAGCAAAACCTTGAATTATTAAAACAGATCAAATGAATAAATTATTAATAATTCATTGTCCCTATGTTCCTTAGAGGATAATTGCATTTCATCTAAATCCTTTTGATTAAAAGCTTTTATTAAACTCTGATTAAGCAAGGGCCACAGTGAAACTGCTAACACAGCGTTATGGTGCCTCCAGCTTCCTGTTGCCACTCAGTGGCTTGCTCATGTGTCCGGCAACCACATCCTAGTTTGTTTTCCTTCCAAGCCACAGGCATACTATACTATCCTGTAATATATTGCTATGCTTATATCCTGTATATATTGCTATGCTTGCAGGATCTGAGACCCAGGTGGAGAGAATCACAGAGACCTAAATGCATCATGCTACTCTGGTCTCCCTCTCCTTGAACTTTACCTCCTTTTTCAGGCCAGAGGTCTAAGGGACAGCATAAAACAATTGCAAACACATATGGAAGAAGCCTCCTCACAGCCTGTTTGTCTATACCCTGGCAATATTTCTCCATATTAAATGTATCTCTTTAATCTCTTGCCCTTTTCAGATGATGGGTGGTAATAATTTCCTTTTTAATGTTTTTATATTGTACTTTTATCATTTTTAATTATGTATATGTGAGGAGGGTATGTACGTACATGTGAGTCCATGTGCCTGAAGAGACCAGAGGTATCAGTTTCCCCTACAGAAGCAGTTACATGCAGCTATAAGCCACCTGGTGCCAGTACTGGGACTCAAACTCAGGTCCTCATCTTCTGGAAGAGCAGAGTCTGTTCTTGGCCCTTGAGCCAGCTCTCAATCCCTGCTCAAATAGAATTTAATTGTGCCTCCTGCATTACCATTACCTACATAGAACCCTTAGTAAAAGTCAAATGCATGCCGATGCATAGTTTAAGCTGTTTATGACTGTCACAAACAGACACATTCCTTTCTAAAGAAAATATAACTATTTGAAATCAGAGATGACACAGAAATTCAAATTAATGATGTGTTCGTTCCCACATGCCACCAGTCCTAGTCAAATGTTTACCTTGAGCACTACGAGAGTTACACATGATAAATGGCTGTTTTTAAGAACACAGCCACTTTAACTCCCGGCCCTCTGTGGATCACTAAAGCTTCGCCTCTAGATTCAATATTTTAAAAATAGGCAGTGTTTCTTAGTTTCTGGTTCTCAGCATCCTTTGAGTACTGATTAAGGCGCCTGACATCTGCCAGCCTGATGTGTTCAAAGGCACAAGACAATCTCAAATACATTTTCTTTCTGATGGCTGCAATAATATTTCTAATTATCACCTGGAAAACTACGGCCGGTTTATATAATGGTATCAAGCTAATTATGCAAACCAACTGTGGACGTTCTCTTGAACAGCTAAGTCTTCTCTTAACTCTTCTACGAATCACCAGTCACCGAAGCCAGGCATTCTTATCTTCTTGCAAGTTGTCCCTGCTTGTTTCTAATGCAGCCCCTCATATAACCTGCCCTGGTGCGTGAATGATGTCCTCCGCCTCAGGTGCTCTTAATCATCAGTTCACGTCTCACATTATAGGCTCGCGCTCTCTCTCTCTCTCTCTCTCTCTCTCTCTCTCTCTCTCTCTCTCTCTCTCTCTCTCTCTCTCTCTCTCTCTTTCTCAAACCTTAGCTGCTTCCCCAGGCACCCCATCACACTTGTCACATCGCCCACTGAGTGGCTTTAGAGTCACCACAGACATGCCCCCTCTGCATGTTGCTCTCTAACCTCTCTACCGTCTCCCCTTCCCACCCAGCCTCCTGTGGTTTTGAACACAGAGGTGAAGGATTACAGGTGACAAGGTCACAGAAGGCAGCCTGTCGCGCTTGTCACCCATCATGGTTCCTCGGTGTACGAAGATGGAATCTCCATGGAAATGAACGAGATGTCTGTAATGTGTAATGTTGTCAGTGTATATTAGAGAAAGAGGAGAGGGGGAGAGGGAGAGGGAGAGGGAGAGGGAGAGGGAGAGGGAGAGAGAGAGAGAGAGAGAGAGAGAGAGAGAGAGAGAGAGAGAGAGAGAGAGAGAGAGAGATGAGAGAACCTTTCCTTT